TTTTTTTTTTTTTACGTGGCTGTGGGGAAGGCGATGTTGTCAAATGAGATGAAGACGTAAGATAGCAGATAAAATGTCGTGTGAGAGGGAAGGTAGGCTGTGCGTAGATCGTTAGTGTTGTGGATGGTCCGTATGAGCACTGAATGTTGGGTATATCTCACTTGAAAAACGAAGCAGGCCTGTCTTCTCTTGGATGCTATTGCAGTCACATTCACTCTTACACGCGTTAGTGGTGTTCGAGGTCGTAGTGCACACCCTCATTGAAAGTCGCCCTCGTATTGCACTACCTCGTCGAAAGTCGCCCTTGATAAGTATGTCCTTCAACAAAAGCAGGGCAATGTTGTGCTTTCCTTGGTGGGTCCCTCGTGTCAGTGACACACCAGAGCTCGTGTGGCCGTAATGCACCTTTTCCATGATTGGAAAGGCGTGTTGCGGTTTTCTTCCAATTTAGTCGTTTCTCCCTGTTCCTCTTCTGTAAGATACCACGAGTATTCACGGGTAGAAACCGCCTTTCCTTTTTTGGACCTGTCCCCTTGCTCAATCAATCTCACTTCTCTCCTCACCTTCCTCATAGAGGAACCTGGTCCCTGTGGGCCCTATCCCACCGTTTACCCGTTACCGGCGAACGGCTGGATAGTGTTCACCCTCCTATTCCTCTTCGATGTCTACAGAAAAAAACGTTGTATCTTTTGTCTTGTACTCCTTGTAGTCTTTTGTCCTGTAGCTCCCTCCTTCGTTCTCCTTCGCTACCGTAGCAGCTCGCGAAACTTAGTTTCCCGTATACAACTCAGAGTCTGTATTGAGGCCTCGTCTTGTCGCCTCCTTTGCCCTATTCTGTTTCGACTCGATGAGGATTCGACTCGCTGAGGACCCAAGATCGTGTAAGCTATATCCCACCTTCCTTTCTGGTGAGTGGATGGTGCGATAGGTGTTGGATTTTTCTCCCCTAGATGCAGCTACACGTAAAAGACGCGTTGCACACCTAGGCGCTGGGCTACACCCACTCTCCCATGTGGCACGACACTCGGCGTTTGCATGCAGAGGGCGACACACTCGGGGGCCGTTACTCGGTGCAATGGTGTGGCGGCGTGGCATGAAACCTAGCGCTGCAAGAATGCGCTAACCCGCGGCGCGTTCGGTCACCGACAGAGGGGATTTCTACACTCTCGCTCCCCTGATCTGAAATCTTTTTTTTCTCCTTTTTTCTTTTTTTTTTGGGAACCTTGTTGTTTGCTCTCGTGTGGCCCACTTCATCTCAGAATGGCACTGAACCATTTAAGAGCCGCATCTCACTCTGATTCTGCTACAGCCTGTCTCTTATACACATCTAGATGTGTATAAGAGACAGGCTCTACAGTTTCTTGCATCATACACTCATATTATATGCCATATTCTATGCTACCCGGTGCTCCAATAAACTCAGATTCAGACAGTGGGAAATCTACTGGCGTTCCAGGCTCCCATCTAAGATGTAGCTGATTGGGCGACTGGCCTGTAGCGGAATGAACTGCGTGTATAGGCTAGCTACTAAGGGTAGCTTGTCATCCAATCAACTTGCTTAGGCTTGATATAATGCCTTACCAGTTGTTGTACTACCCGGTTCATCTGTTCAGCCTGTCCGTTTGCCTCAGGATGGTTCCTAGATGTCATCTGTAATTCAGATCTCATCTGCTGCGCAGTCTT